GTGGGGTTTCTAAAGAGGACTAAGGGAAGGGGTTGTTGTTATGTGATTTCTAACAACGATATAACAAGTGGTTAAGTTGATGATTGCGAACGGTTTGAACGTAAAGCATGTAAAAAGAACTCAACAATGGCCCCGGTCCGAGGTGAACCGAGGTGAAGAGCCATTATGGGCTTTTACGTGTTTCATCTTAATGAGTTTTTCAGGGGATCCCCCGTACAAGTATCATCGGGTTGATATTTATAGTAACTTTTTCGGGGATACATTGGGATTTGTGCATTAGCTTTTTCATAAAGCTACTTTTTTGATGGGCGGCAGGATCAGTGGGCCCCATTTGAATGATGAGAAATCTCGTAATTCGTGGCGGGGCGCGTAGGTGCCTTGTCACCTGCTTTAGGAGGTGATGACCTCAGTTTGCGTCTACTTCGGTTTGGCAAGACTTCGGTCTTCGGTGATCCAAATCGGTTCTCTATCCGAATTAGTTCAGCTTCGGATAATGTCGGTTCGATGGTTAATTTCACTTAACACGATGCTTAGAACTTCTTAATGGTGTTTTTCCGAGTCAGGTGATAACAGGGGTTTCGCGGTAAAGTCGTTGGCCTTACAGAGAGTGGTGCTGGAACACACAGCGGTAGCCGGATTCATGACCCGCTGCGGCCGGAGCTCCTTCCTGAAGGCTGTAACACGGGGATATCGGGGGTCGATCCACGTAGAGCAGAGTGTGAACATGGTGTTCATGGTGGAGGATATGGGGGTGGAGTTGTTGCTGGATGACGGGGATAATGGGTTCGTGGTGGCGGCGGAGCAAGAGATGTTGTCTCTTATGCAAAAATTCGTTCTTTCTCTTCATATGCCTTAATTTTTTTCCCATTTTGACTATGCTTTGTGCGTATTTATGTGGTTCTTGTGGATATGGTGAAAAAATAATGTCGATATTGTTCGTGCAAGATGTAAACAAGGATGAGTACATAGGCATAAATTAGCTAAAGAGTTTCGGTGCAAAAAAGTCGACTCGATGGTTCATGGTGAAACTGGAAAATCTGTCGTGGCCTTTATCACATTTCAGGTCACCTTAATTCTGGATTTTGGTTATTCAGATTTGAGAAAGTTCTGTTACATTTTATCTGGTTGGTTAAGATTATTGTTCGATTCTTGATTATGGTTATGAACGTTTTCACTTGGAATAACTGATATGGGTGAAGTTTGGTTTTGGATATTAGTGTCGTTGCTCTCAATGCATTCTGGTAGAGCTTGCTGTTGCATTAGGATTTGATGGTTGGCTGGTAAGTAGTGCATTTTTTTAGTTGTTTGTAAAATCTACACATTAACAAGGTTAACTTAAAGATTTGAGTTTGAATTAATCCGTTTGATATATGTTTCTTTTTCTTTATTTGCTTGGTAGAATTTATGTCTTGATGCCTATTTTTCAGGGAAAAAAAAAGGTTGTTGTTTGTCCGACGATACGTGTAGTGAACTAACTAAACAATGGAGTGCCCGTCGTACTTAGAACTAGACTATTCGTAAACCTTGTCGTTGGTGGAGAAGATAATGACAGTGGTGACCTCAATAGCGCAGAGAATGGAGAGTTCATTGGCTTTCCTGAACAAACCAGTGCACCTCTTGGTGAAACTCTCACCTTTTTTTCTTACTTCTTCTTCTTCTTTTTTTTTTTTTTTTTGGTCACTGGATTAAGATGGGCTGATTTGTATCTTGCACTCCTTGAGCCAATTAATATCAACCTTTATGCTTCTTGGGCCAAACATTGCATTACATCTATCAGTTTTTGCCCCGCTTCCTTCCGCAATGTGTTTAAGCATCTAATCAGGTTTATGGCAAATAATTGATTGATTTTTTGTTTGAATTATGTCCCTCTTTCAATTTTGTACAGGCTTATCCATTATTATTATTGGTCGTTCTTTATCACTTACTCATCCTTTTCCTATTTTGACTCCATCCAAATTTAACCTCAATATTATGGTATTAGGGTGTTTTTCTTAGTTCTAAATTTCATTCGAGGCCAAGAATTAGCATTTAAAAAGTTTTTAATTGATTTACTTTTTATATATGTATCTACTTGCCTTCTTTTATTCTTTTGTAGTCCTTACATCTTTTATAAAGTTTGATAATATATCTTAGATTTTATAAGATTTTATCACTTTTGTAGCCAATTCACAAAATACAAATTGCTATTATAAGATTTTATCACTTTCGGTTCATTGTCATATCACATAATCAAGATTTACAAATTCTTTTTCATTATTTATATCCTTTTAACTAAATTAATAAACACACCATATTTTTATATAAAACAAAATGCAAAAGTAACTTTTTTAAAAACAAAAGAGTTTTTATAAAGTGAACATAGATATATCCATCTTTTAAAATGGAGCGGGAATAACTAATAACCAATCTAATGCTAGCTAATGTTCATAATATGTGTCGTTTTGAGAAGTTTCACAATAATTAAGAATTTATTTTTTTATTTTTTGTCAATAATCACCCTCTTAATGAAAATTAATAACATAAAAATTAAGAGTGATAATGAAAACATGTAGTGTATTAATTAGCTAAATAAAGGTAATTATGAAAAAATATGTACAAAATATTCAAAACGTTATTTATTTAGTTAATGGTTAATAAAATTAATTTCTATTACTATAAAATAGAGTTACGAAAAAATAATTTCGGTAAGTTTTTTCCCGCTCAATTATTTCGAAAATTACCTTTTGTGGAAACTTTTTTTGAATTTATTTCACAAATCCCGCCTAAAGTTTTTGATTTGATTTTGAATAGGAAAAAATGAAATTCAGATTATTATTACACGCCTTTTTTAACACCTTTTTTTTTTAGGAATAGATTTGGTTAATTTTCCCCTATTTCAACTCCTTTTTTTATGAAGAGATTTGGTTAATTTTTTTTGTGAAATCCGTTTTGTACTATTAAACAAATTAATATTGGATATGTTTTGAAAAGATTCCTTCATTAAAGAAACAATTCCATATGTTTTAACTTCCTATTTTTTAGGATAGGATTTGGTAAATATTTATTGGTTAAATCCGATTTTTAGAATAAGCCTAACTAAATATATTTCCTTTTTTTTAGGATGTGATTAAAGAAACAATTCCATAAAAATATGGATTCTTTAAAATATGATATATTATCTTCTACATAACCGATTTCTTTGGATACGTTTGAAAATAATTTCCATTGTTTTGAAAAGATAATGTAGGATATGTTTTGAAAAAAATTCCTTTATTAAAGAAACAATTCCATAACATATTCGATTTTAATATTTTGTATGCAAATAATTATTTCGAAATTTTTCTTATTTAAAACAATTCAAATTAATATTGGATATGTTTTGTAAAGATTCTTTTATTAAAGAAACAATTCCATAACATATTCGATTTAAATATTTTGTATGCAAATAATTATTTCAAAATTTTGCTTATTTAAAACAATTCAAATTAATATTGGATATTGTAGATCACATCTATTATTTGCTTACTATATATTTAAAATCTAAAATAGGTTGGATTGGGTTTAAGGTGGTAAGCACGACCTTCTTTGTTGTGGAAAGTCAAACAAAAGGTATACCATTTTAGGTATAAAATCTGATTTCATTTGATAAGCTCAATCAAATTTGGTTATGACTGAATCAAACAATTTTGAACAATATTAAATTAATCGATTACTATTGAATTAATTTTATTTGATT